TAGATTCCAGGTGATAAGTTTGAGTAAGATCCCATGCTGTGAACAGACCAAACAAACGATTCTATTTTATTTTGATTAGTTAGATGTACAGCCATTAACATCTGACGGACAACATTAGTTAGAACTGTTTTCTGTTCCTTGTGCTTTCTGCTTGTGGACTAATCAAAGTGCAATAGTTTGCGTTCGTAGGAATCTGAACTTACCTGTTGGACCCGAATGTATGGTCTTTGACATAGCCGCCGATTATTCATTTTATTTTATTATAAATCGGTCTGAACATGTCACTGCAGTAGGCATCGCTTGAGTGTCCTAGTGCAGGTACTGTTCAGTGTTGTAGCTTATAAGTGACAGGGAGGATCCACAACCGGACGACCGACTCTTGCGATCGGCTAGACGCCCGATTGCCCATTTGGCATTAGGACCAGAGGGTGACAGATACCTGTTCCGCCAACGTAGGGAGAGGCAGCAGCGGCAGAGGAGAGCTAGAGCAGCAGAGGCCAGCAGGGCGTTCGTAAGTGAAGCCGCAACTTCAGCAGCCATGGCCACTTGTGCGCAGCAGAGTTCCCAGGCTAGTAGTTCAGGGTCTGTAGGGTCAACGGTCGCACAGACCATGAGTCAGTCTACTGGCGTTATGGCAAGCCAGCCAATAGTGTTGACCCCCGAGGAGGCCGCCATACAGCGAGCAGCGATTCGCGAGGCACAACTACAGCAGGCGTTAGGGGAGATTAAGGCAAAGAAAGAGAAAATGATTGGGAGAAAAGCCAGGATGCAGCGGAGACAAGCGGACGTTAGTGAGTTAGAGGAGATGGACCTGACACACATGAGTGATGATGTAAGGACCATAAGGTTCGTCCTGCTAGATGTAGTTGAAATGCAGGACCACCAGACGACTCTCCTTCAAGACATTCAGCAGAGTCTGGCCGTAGTGGTCGGGTGAGCGCAGGCTGCGCCATCACCATCCAGGCCAGGTGCCTGGCCTGTTGCACAACCTCCTCCTTTTGTCCCATGGATGCATGTGTGCGGCCACGTTCTTTAATTATTATAAGCACAGCAACACTCGCTGATGGCGTTTTATTTTTGTTTCATGTCTCTCTCTCTCTCTCTCTCTCTCTCTCTCTCTCTCTCTCTCTCTCTCTCTCTCTCTCTCTCTCTCTCTCTCTC